TCCATTATATGTATCATGTTAAGCGCATAGAGCATTGCATAAGTGGATATGCGCTATATAAATGCAATCCATTATTTTATTATTATTATTAGTCACTTGGAACAGACATCTGAATTTCGCAAAAATGATCTGTTTCGAAATACATCGATGTGTCACCCTATGAACATGCTGCTGAACAAAGCTCAGACTTAATTTCTAGATCGACACCAGAATTACGTCATAAATATTCAGGTATGTGGTCTACAAATGTCGCTCCAAGACAGAAAAAAGACCAATACTCCACGTCACGCTCAAACATGTTTTTTCTCCCCTTTGTTTCTTTCTTCGGCGAGGGGGGGGGGGTCTTTTTCAATTGGCAGGTTCTACACTGGATGATCAAGCTAGACAGCGATTCTGGGAACCTTAGTTCCAGTCCCAAATGTGATTTTTTTTTTCGTTAGGTAATCAAAGAAACTTTCATGCCGCTCCACTCACTCACTATAATATTTATGTTTGACACAGTCTCATTAGAGGCAGATGTTTAATCGCACTCTTGCTTGTTCACTTTTGTCTGTCTGTGGTTACAACATAAAAACAGATACCGTTCTGTTTAGTCCTCTAAGGACTTTGCATGCGAGTCTAAAAGTTGAATGACCAACAGAATGTAAAAGCTCATTAATGAAGGTTACCGCAAATTAAGGTTGCGATATGTTTTCTTTGATGTTAGCATAAAGCGGGTAAAAAATAGAAGATTTACAGCATACGCCAAAAACACAAAAAGCTGACCTATTTTCATTGACACCACACTTTAACGCACGTCAATGAAGCACGGCCCAATAGACGGGTGAGCACTCTGTCCGACTCACTTGGGGACGTTTGAGGGGAATTGGTCGCTTTTAAGCACAAGCGGGCTTTCCCGAAAAATGTCCTTTTGAGAAAATTGGAGGTAAAGTTTTGCCCCCTGTTCAATTTCTTTAAAAGACAAGAAGAGTTTTCTCTATAACCAAACAAGCATATTATATACCAATGAAACCAAACTTCTCCTAAAGGTAGGGCAATGCCCACTTTTGGTGTAGGTCAAGATTTCTGGAAACCCCGAAAGCTGGGTTGGCCCGCTTGTCCTTAAAAGCGACTAATTAAGTTTAGATCTACAAGTTAACACTGAAATGTGTGAGTGGGGTGGGGTGGGTGGGGTGCAAGGTGGTGTTACTGTCTCAAAACGAGCAATTCGTGGGCGAGATTACTGTAAATCATTTATGGTAGTGACCTTCTGTAAGCATCATAAGGGCGGCATTTCACAATACAGGGTTCAATTTCTTTTTTAAATCCAAAAAGGAAAAAAAAAAATTACTGGATCAAGATTTTTTATAAAATATATTTTTATTTGGTCTTTAGCCTACAGGAGAGCCATGCAAAGTTACGTGCGCATGGGCACATAGATATAGAAGTTAGAATAGTTTTCTTTAACGCGGACAGACGAAAGTGAACAAGCTATAATATAGAATAACTTCCCTCTGTAAAGGAAGCGCCTCGTCCATTGCATTCCTATACCAATCAGGATACGCAGGCCTACTTGTATTTTTTTTAAAAACCTGCGTAAATTCTTCCACAAAAGAAATTGCGTTTTACATTTCGCATTCGGTGACAGCTGAAACTTAACGATGACAGAAGACATTAAAAGCGCTCATTCAAAATCTAACAGTAGTATACTATCGCATCCCTTTATCGGTAACGTAATCTCCTCACACTGGGGTAACAGGGTTGTGGCGGGGGAGAATCTAGAAAACAAAAAAGGGAGGATGACGGGTGACGTTACGCATTCTGACACGTGACAAAACGCTCGTACAATAAGTGCAACCCCGAGGCATCGCCTAAAGCAGGACATAAACCTTTTTTCAGTATTCAGGCAATAATTTAGTATGCTTATCCCATGGTTCACTTTCATTACTTTCAATGATAATATGGTTGCTTCTCAGGATTGTAGAATATTTAATTTGTTGGGGTTGTATTTTTATAAGGAAAACAAGAGGGGTGAAGCAAGGGCACGGGGTTCTATATTATGTGTTTGCTTTTCAAAAAATTGGTATGTAAATGTGCCTAACTGTCAATTATTTGAGTGTGTGTGTGTGTGTGTGTGTGCGTGTGTGTGTGTGCGTGTGTGTGTGTATATGTGTACCCACGTGTGTTTGTGTGTGTGTGTGTGTGTGTGTGTGTGTGTGTGTGTGTGTGTGTGTGTGTGTGTGTGGGGGGGGGGGTTATGTGTGTGTGTGCACATTTAATTTTTAAAAAAGAAAATTTGCTTAATAATCTGTCAGTTAAATTTCATTAGATTTTATCCAGTCGTTTATTATAATTATTTGTTCTTTTGTTTAATTTTTTCCTCTTTTTGGGGGGAAAGGGATGGTGAAGAGAAAGGTGGATTCATATTTTCCAGCTGTCTCAACAAACTTTAAAATGAAGATTTTTTGGTACTTTTTCAGAAACACTGCAAACAATTTTAAGACAGTACATCGTCACACACACACACTACTGGTGAGAGTATATTATGTTTGTATGTTAAATATTTATGTATGTAAACACCAGTATCATTCAAATATTTCATCAGTCTTTACTTATCTAACTACAAGGTGCAAAGTATCAGAAAGTAGGCTTACCTCTAGGTCTTCCACTGCATTTTTCGCGAAAACTTCCTTGAATGCAATTTCTGAAATTGATTTTTTAAAAAATAGATTTAAGAAATTACTTGAAATCAAACTGGTTTTCTATGGTAAAAGTTTACAGTATCATATAAATACAATAGCTATTGTCAAAGAGGGTCACTCATTGTCAAGGACAAGGGTGGTTGTCATAGACAGGTGGACATACTGGACAGTGTCATTATATTTTTGGGAAAGTGTTTTACGGCGCACACAAATACATAAGGTCATATGAGCGTGGAACTCCTTAAACATTTTCAGTTGGTAGGAAATTTTGAACTTTGCCCGTACGGCCAGAGCCTAATCTTATCGATTTTGGACAACCAAGGGATCTTTAACGTGTGCAACGTGCACACGAGACCTCCAAGATTTTTCGCCCTTGGCCGAGAAGGCTACATGAAGATCTTTCCTACCGGGAGATCAGGGGTGTGTCTGGAAAAACAGCAGTACGAAGGAGCCAAGGAGATGCAGTAGAAAAACTGCAGAAAGAGAAGCCCAGAGGAGGAGGCAAACGAGGTGAGGGGGTGAGGCAGAAAGTGGAAATGAAGGCAGACTACAGAACATTGTTAGAGAGCATGAAAGGATGAGGAAGGAGAAAATTTTACAGAAGAAAATTTCCATCGTTATCTGGATTCGAACCTGGGACCTATTGAATGAGAGGCGAACATCTTAACCTCTAGGCCATTAGAGTCTCCAATGTCATTATAAAATAGAAGAAAAAAATTGCAAGGCCAGAAGTGGGAAGTGGCCATTTGTACAGTTGATTGTCTTGGATAGGAGGCTGTTGGAGCAAGCTTTATTGACTGTATAATGTAACCATTAGTTTTTAATCATTCTAGTCTATAATGATGATAAACCACAAAATACTTATACCTAGAAACATATGAATGGAGTCCATCATTTCAGATAAGGATGTAACTATTATTACTACAATGGAATAATCTTTTCCCTTCCTATATCCCTAATTATCAACCCTCAATCTATGGAAAACTGTTACGGGACTATCAGATGATCAGTCAATTTTTTTTCTCTTTCAACCATTCAAGACACTAAGTGGGGGGGGGGGGGTAGGCAGGACTGGCTTGGCAAAAACAAGAAAGAAAAAAGTAACAGAAAAAAAGATAAGAATCAGACATAGTTAAGAGACAGCAAAAGGACGGACCAAAGACTATGATATTTAAACATGACAGTCACTTTCATTAATACAAGAGTCTTATCTATTTCACATTTAAGAAGGCATTATAAGGTTGGTTTGGAGTTTGAGTGTAAGTAAAAAGAAACACATCAAATCAATAACGGTTATATAGTGCAGGGAACATGCAAGACAGATAGAGGGAAACAACAGAGATAAGGAAAAGAAGTAGGACCCATCAGTGCCGCCCTCCAACCACTTGCATGTCAAGTGGAATGGTGAGACAATTGAGCAAAAGAAGATCGAGATGACAAAACTCTTCCGAGAGTTGTTGCCACTCACAATAATCGGAATTCATAAACTATATTTTCACTTAACAACCTCTTCTAAAAAAAATAATCACAAAGTATTCATCTTTAACAATCAAACAGAACTTACTGTCCAGAGTAGATGTCTCCAGATACTATATTCTTTCTAATTAAGATTCATTCAAAGTTAGCAAAAATTAGTCTACCAGTGTTTGTGGTGTAGCATTTAGGTGCTTTGCTGTCACATGCAGGAGACCCGAGTTCCATTCCTGAGTGGGGGAAATGTTTATTGCACATCTCAGTCTTTCTGCTGGGATGTTGTATCCCTCTTACCCTTAGTTGGCCCTGACAGGCAAGGTCAAAACTGACCCCCTAAATGATCTTATTTTTTTGTTGATGAGGGCAAAAAAACCCAACTACATTAGATTTTTTTAAAAGTTAATCTGATTGTTTTCAACAAAACTTGACTGAGACCCTCCAACATATGACACAACCAAATGCATTGATGAAACATTTGCTACATCACATATCATATGTAGTTGTGATGGCATATTGATAGTGTTATGCTCCAACCACGTAACAAGAATGTCAACTATTTCTTTTGTTCTGAAAAAATTGATTTGTAAACCTTCAATAAAAAATTAGGAGTCAGCATGCACTAAAAATAGAATTAAAGTACTGTAGATTAACTCTTATTTCTGTCAATATGTAGGGGCCTGTTTCAAAATTGAGTGGCATCTTGATGAAATCAAGCGCTCGTATAAATAATGACATCAAAAAAACAAACATTTTTCCTCCTGTTGGGCAATTTTTATTGAATTTTTTTGTTTTGGAATCAACATCTTTTATGTCCATTAAAAAATGCATTTCTTGGTGAATCCTACAGAAAAATGTTGATCAAACACACAAAAAACATTAATTTACAGTTCCCAAGGATGCTACAGTTTTGAAAGTCACCAAACTTTGGCTGCCATTTTCTTGTTTATTTTACCTCTGACACCAGGTAACCTCCACCTCCTTCAATCACAAATAGCTCGGTTTCTATTCAATATAAATGGATATTTCTTCATCAAAATCAATGCAAAATGAACAAGCTTTAAGAATATACCAACAACTTTATAAGCCCAAAAATTGACAAGTGTCGTATTCCACCACATCAGGACACAATTTACTTATTCCGAAACCAGTGACATGGCTAGAACATAACAGCATGATACTTTAATCCCACAAGGAGACATGAAGAGTTGTTAGGAAGTAAAAGTACTACAGACCTTGCTTCTCCTGCACAAGGTCGTCCAGTTCATCATCCTTACGTGCCAGTTCTGTAACTAAGAAATGGCGGTCAGCATCAGTAGAGGACAGCGCGGTGCGGAATTCCTGACGAAGCCGGCGCTCCCTGGCCAAACGTTCCCGGAACTCCGACCTCAACCATTTGATCTTGTTCTGACAAACATACAAAAGAACTGGTTTAACTTGGGTGAATAATACGCAGTTTTTAATGTCGATCAGTCGTTAACGATTATGGGGATTATTTAAAATCAAGGGGTCATTTGGAATAAGAAATTGGAAGAAGAGGCAAAGCAGTTAATGTAAAAACATTATTATTCAAATTTGAGTTTGCAACTCATGAAAATAACTGCCTCTCGTGAAATACACATGCTTCTCACATAAGCCCTTCTGGTTTTTTCTAACTTAAAAGTTGTACAAATATTTCAAGATCAGTTATTTTAATACTAACAGGCATCCCGGGAAATGAAAGGGCTTTCATAGTACAGTGTGATTTTAAAAAGCCCAATAGAATTTGTTGTGCAAGTAGAATGGCTGTTCCCAGGCCTGCCTCACCTTTATTTCTGTCAGCAGGTGTGTCGGGATGCCTGAACCAACGACAGCGAGATTCTTGAGGCCGTTGATAGGCTAAGGGAGAGAAGGATGAGAATAGATAAAACATGTCTCTTTAAATCAATCGGGTTATCCCCCTTGCTCCAGGAGGCAGTAAGTAAGGGAAACTAACAGAGAGAGAGAGAGAGAGAGAGAGAGAGAGAGAGAGAGAGAGAGAGAGAGAGACAAGGAACAAAAGGAAGAAAACAAAGAAGAGAAAAAAGGAACTTTCTTCATCTTACTAGGAAATTTGGGTCACAAAGGCATGCTATATGCATGCATAGTAAATCACAACAAACAATATGAAATGGAATAAACAATTTGCAACAAACTAAGGACTTGAAATTAAAAGTTTTGAGTCTAATTCCCTGCTCTGTCATTGTGTCCTTACAAAATATATTCCACCCTAATTCGTTCAATTCACCCAGCAGAAATGCTTCCTTGGCAATCATCATTGATACTGCTGTGACTTTAAAAGGCTGCCTTAATGTATGTCTCTGCTAATCCAAAACAGCAGTTTGGTTTGAACAGGCAAGCCAAATAAGGACTAAAGAATCCATGTTTGCTTTCAAGGGGAGACACATATTATATAAATGAACAATTTTACAAGTACATTTCTAACATTAGGCCCATCTGCAAACAAACTCACAAACAATCCACTGCTGGTGCCTCAGGCTGGCCCCCTGAATTTTACTGTTGCCGTGGTTTTATGTAACTCGGATAATTAGGAAAATTTGATAATTTATTGCATCATTTTTTATTATTTTCCTTTATCATTCTTTGTTAAAATCAACAGAATCGCATAATTTCACATTTTTGGGCTAAGTTTGCATAATTTCAGAATTTTTCTTACATAAAATGACAGGGGCAGATTTTAGCTTTGGTAATCGTGTCTTGCTTCAGGACATACTTCAGTGACACCCATTTCAGATAGATCTAAACTACTCAACTAAATTTCGCGGCATTGTTTGTGAGCCAGGGTTTACTAATCACAAAACTACTGGTGCCACAAGAGACATAAAAAAGTAGTATCAATCAATTACACACTTCAAAATGACCCCCCTCCCAAAAAAAAAGACCAAACAAATGAATTAAGTGTATATGCATTCAAATAAAATGTAATAGGTAGGAGTAAAGTTTACCTGACAGCGACTTGTGGCGTCAATAGAAGCTGTCTCCACCAAGGCATCAATTTCTATGGCAATTTCTTGAATGAGATTCTAGGGGAAAAAAATTAAGTTGTTTGAATGGTGTTACAAGAGTTGGCCTTGATTTTGATAAGTGTCAGGTATCATACTTAACAATTCAAATCATGATGCAAAGTAACATGGATTTTGTTTTGTTTTGAGAAGATAAGTTCACTCAGCCTCATTCTTTATCTTCCCTAACCCTTTTGTGCGTCGTGTGAGAGAGTGAGAATGTGGATGTGAGCACAATATATTAAGTATGTGTGGGAGATGGAGAGATAGACTGATGGAGAGAGAGAGAAAGAATAGAAATAGACAAAGTGAAATAAATAATGTGTTAAAACTTTTTTTTTCGGGACAGAGAGAATTTATGAACATGTGTGTGTGTATCTGTTTGCCTGTGAGTGTGTGAGCATGTGATCTCTGCCAAGTGTGCAGATGCATGTATGCTTGGGAAGGAGGTATGGTAGACATAATGAAGCCAAGAAGCAAGCCAGCCAGCCCGTCAGTGAAACAGACAGACAGACAGACAGACAGACAGACAGACAGACAGAGAGACAGACAGACAGACAGACAGAATAAATAGCCACAGTTAAAAGCATAGGAAATTGTAGAAATTAAAACAAAGCATCCCCACAGTGATGGTAGTGCGTTGCGGGAGCTACAAAACATCCTAGTTTGTTTCTATACATGATGTGTTACAAATCTGTCTTTGGTACTGGCTTCTTAAAGAACTAAATCAATTTAATAAGAACAGGTGCTTCTTTATAAACTAAATTATGAAATAATGCACACAGGTAAAGTATACAAGAACTATAAGATAGCCGTCCAACATCTGTGTTGGAATGGTTAACTTTATTGTTTTACAAAGAAGATAGAAGTTTCATTGCCATTTTAGGAGGGTGGTCTTTTTATTTGTTTGTCTGCAGGGTTATTGTATCCCATTCAGCCCAGGTTGGCCCTGATGGGCAGGGTTGAAGCAGCCTGCCACCAAAATTATTTTAATTGTACTGATGAAGGTGCACCCATAATCTGCAATCTGCAATCTAAGATGGTACTCACAATTTGCTGCTTTTCAAGTTTCTCCAGCTCCATCTGAGCACTGCCCAGCTGGTTCTCCAACTTTTTTACCCTGTGTGAGCACAAAGATAAGGGTGAGCTGATCTTCAGCATACATGACTCATCCACAAACTACTCGAGCCCTCATACATACACGTTCGAACAAGCAAAAACCCACCCATACACCCCCTCATGCAAACCTGCACACTTTTACA